ATTTAGATCTTGGGCTCCAACCTGAACTAGACTTTGGACTTGGACCTTGAACCAGAATTTGTACATGACTTTGTACCTAATCTTTGGATCTAAATCCGGACCTGGTTTTGGATGTTGGACTTAGACTTAAGGCTTTGATTTTACCTGGAACATATACTTGACATTAGACTTGGTCATTAGACAAATACCAGGACTTGAGAGAGAGATGTGGGGGGAGGAGCAGAGGGAGAGGGATGAGCAGACTCCACGCTGATCATGGAGCCTGACACGGGGCTCAGTCCCACGACCCTGAGATCATGACCTGAGCCAAAATCAAGAGTCAGACGCTCAACTGACTGAGCCACCCAGGAGACCCTGAATCTCAAATTTTGCTTTTTCTTGGACAATAGGCCTTACCTTAAAAATAGAAATTGTGCCTACATTTGGATCTTTGACCTGAACCTGCATGTATGAACAAGATTTTGGATCTTACCAGTGAGTTTTAGCAATGAAATTGACTTTGGTCCTGGACCTCAGACATAGATGTAGTTCTTAGACTTACGCTTCAGTCCTGGATTTGGATCTCAAATGTGAAATCAGATCTTAAAGCTGAACCACATTTCTGGACCCTAACCCTATAATTCATAATGGATTATACATGACCTTGGAACTAGAACTTGGATTTGGATCTTGGAGCAACCTGGTACTAGATTGTCAACCTGGACTTTAGACATGGATTTAATCTGGATCTTGGACTCATCTTAGACCTGGGAAGTGGACCTAGAATTAGACCTTGGACCTGGTCCTTGAACCTCAGGTTTGGATCTGATTTTGGGTCTTGACCTAAACCTGAATTTTGGAATTGGTTGAGTGTACCTCAACTTTGAACATTGGGCCTTGAATCTAGACTGTGATCCTGGACCTAGATTTGACATTAAACACTAACATTGGACCTGAGACTCAAATATGAACATAGGTGTTGGACCTAGACCATGGACCTAGACTTGGATCTAGATCTTAGATATAATCTTTGGAACTGAACACCAACCTGCTCCTGAACCTTGTAGATTTTGGGTGTGGAATTGGCCTGTAAGTTAGTCCTGATATTAAACCTGGTCCTTGGACATGGACTTGGACTTTGATATTAGAACTGTATTTTGGACCTCAGACTTGACACTGAACATTTTAAACTTGGATCTGCCCTTTGGACCTGAATGTAGGGTGTGAATCTGCATTTGATCTTGGATACTTATGTTGGACCTGGGCTTTGGAAATGGACATGGATCTTGGACCTGGACCTTGACCTGTTATGTTGTAGACTTAATGACCTTGTTCTCAAACTCTGGACCTGGACCTGGAACCTGGAACCTCAGCCTTGGGTCTCGATCTTGGACTTGACCTTTAGATCTCAAACTGGTCCTTGGACATAGACTTGGACCTTGGACTTAAACATCAAATCAATTGTGGACCTCTGTTTGTCTGTGATATTGGACCTGTCCTCAGACTTGGTTTTTTGGAACTTACTTGAACTTCAACCTCTAACCTGAGACTTTGACATCATGTCAAGTCCTCAGACCTACACCAGGACATGACCTTGGACCTGGAATGTTGATCTGAACCAGAATCCTAGACCTAGACTGGGGGACCTGGGTCTTAGACTGGAACCTTACTTTGGAACTCAACTTGTCCTGGACATTGAACTCAGACATGGGATTGACTTGGACATTGGAGCTTACCTTTGACTTTGACTTAGATGTCTAACTTTGGTCACAGAACTTGGACTTAGGGCACTTGTTTCAGTCTCTCTTGTGGGTGTTAACCCACCACCTTAGTATTTTTCCATGGGTGATGGTAGCCTCAGACCTGGCTAGGAAATAGAGTGCTTCCCCTGGCTGCTTACTGATAGCTGGTACTCCTGATCAATTCTCCTTTGTCAGTTTGCCTGGTATTTTGAGCTGGACTTTCTACTTAGTCCATTCAGTCATGGGAAGGAATAGGCCAGATGGGCTGTCATCTGTTTCCAGGTTAGGGTTTGGGAAATTCCTAGTCTGGATCACCTTGTTCTGTTGTGTAGGGAGACCTAAGATGCCCTGCTGCTGTGTTGTTCCTCTAGTTTGGAAGTCTCCTTCGGAGAACCTTTCAGAGTTCTCCTTGATTGTTTCTTGCATTATTTTCAGGTTTATAGTTGTACTCAGCAGGGAAGAGCAGAGATAAATGGGTCTACATCATTTTGTCTAGACTGAAAGTCACTGGTCATTGCTGTTCTAGGTTACTCTGTTGAGAGTTTTGCTATAAAGGTGAGCAGAGATATGGGACAGTGGCATGAAGGAGATGTGATGTTAAGAAAGGTTTGCTTTTATTTATTTTTATTTTTTAAAATATTAAGTAGGCTCCATGCCTAACGTGGGGCTTGAGCCCATGACCCTGAGATTATGAGTTGCATGCTGTACAGACTGAGCCAGCTGGGAGCCCTTATTTATTTTTTAATGAGAGAAACTACAGCATGTTTGTAAGATCTATCTCCCGATGATACAGGAAGCATAGGAAATAATTACTGGAGAAATGCCTTGAATAGGTAGCAGACAATAAGCTTTCCTGCACAAAATGGGGAAGCCTTTAAATAGGAGGTTGGAAGGTTTGTCCATTGTTCATCCAAACAGGAGGGAAGCAGAGTACATGAGCACAAAGGCAGGTGGGTGCTCAGTAAGGTCTTGGAAGTCTAAGAAGTTTCTTTCCTGGCTGTTTCTGTTACCTTCCTGAAAGAGGAAGCAGGGTCAACAGCTGGACAGTGAGGAAGAAGGAAGAGGTTGTTGGAGGTTCGGAGAGAGAATATATGAAAGTTACCTAGGAGAGTAGATGAGCAGATGGCCTAGGTTTAGAAGATGTGAGAGAGCAATATAGAAGACTATGATTTAAAAGTAGGATTTAAAGACTTTAGAGATGGAGGGATCCTAAGTGATGTCAAAGACCAGGATATGGATGGCCTAGTGCTATTTACAAAGTAATGATACCTATGTCTGGCACTGTACTGGGCAATAGTGATAAAGGCATGAGGAAACCAATCTCCTCTGGAGTGGTTACTATGCAAGCCACACTGGAGTGGGCTGCTGGGAAAATGGGGATGAGCCTGTTAGAGCAGACAACCGGTGTAGGTTTGTTTGTACACAGATGAAGAAACAGAGGTAGCTGAAGGGGAAAGTGGGGCTAAAAAGATTTTGAAAGATGGGAGACACCAAAACATGTTTGAATTCAAAGGGAAGGGACTCAGCAGGGAAAGGTGAAAGTGCAGTAGAGACCAGAAAACCAAAACAGCAAGGTGGGATTCAGAGCACGTGGAAGGACTGGCTTAATGGGAAGCAGGACCCTTTCTATGTTGTAACAGGAAGAGAAGAGGGAAGCATATGCAGATACATTTATAGATTCAGATGTGAGAAGCTTCTCTGACTCCCAGACATCTCACTCTAATCCCAGGGTACCAGGACATTATAAATGCTTTGGCCCATTATCTTCCATGCAAGGTAACCCCTCTATTGGCACAGAGGTGCCGCTCTTGCCAAGGTCACAGTAACCTCCATGCTGCCACATTTAGAGGGTATTTTAAAGGCTTCATCATTTTGGACTTTTCAACAATATTCAACATTGCTTCATTCTCCAGAAACACTCTCTTGACTTTCCTGATGCACACATCCTTGTTTTTTTTCTTTCCTTCTTGGGCTATTTCTCCATCTCCTTTGTTAGCTTGTACAAATATTTTTCAAAATTCTATATAAATTCAAGGTTCCTCACTACTCCCTGTATGGTAGATTATCGTAGTAATGGTCCCCCAATGATTCACAGCTGCCAGTATCCATGCCCTTACGAAATCTCTTCCCACATGGACTCTGGGCTTGGCCACGTGACTTACCTTGGCCAATGGGATATTAGCAAACATGATATAAGCAGAAGCTTAATAAGCTTGTGAATGGGGGGCCTGCCCTCTTGGAACTCTGAAACAATCATGCTATGAAGCAGCTAAGGATAAAAAACCACATTTGACCCACCTGCTGAATGCAGCCACATGAGTGAGTCCAAGTGAGACCAGCAGAATCACCCAGCCAATTCAGAGACACATAAAAATTAATCAGTTTTTTTTTAATTTGGTGTGTGCCACTTACCCTTTTTTAAAGATTTTATTTATTTATTTGAGAGAGAATGAGAGATAGAGAGCACGAGAGGGAAGAGGGTCAGAGAGAGAAGCAGACTCCCTGCTGAGCAGGGAGCCCAATGTGGGACTCGATCCCGGGACTCCAGGATCATGACCTGAGCCGAAGGCAGTCGCTTAACCAACTGAGCCACCCAGGCGCCCAAAATTAATCATTGTTTTAAACCACTAGATTTTGAGGTGATTTGTAATGCAGCAATAGGTAACTGTCATCCTCATCTACAACAGAGACATGGCTAACTTTAGTGGCTTTATGCAAATCAGAAAAAAAGTGAGTCATAAAAACATGCCTCTACTGGGCAGACACACCTTTGTTCAAATAAAAAGCGTCCCTCTAGGATGCAGCCTTATGCCAGGTGCACAGCATGGATTTGGACCCACACTCAGCTCTGTCACTGGGTGCCTTTATGTACTAGTGCATAAGCTTGCACACTGTGTGTGAACCTTCTCGGAGATTTCTACACAATTCTCTCCATTTAGCATAGACCAGAAACTTGGCTTCAGGACAGTTGTTTTTTTAATTTATTTTTTATTTTATTTTATTTTAATTTGTTTATTTGACAGAGAGACACAGCGAGAGAGGGAACACAAGCAGGGGGAGTGGGAGAGGGAGAAGCAGGCTTCCTGCCAAGCAGGGAACCCGATGTGGGGCTCAATCCCAGGACTCTGGGATCCTGACCTGAGCCGAAGGCAGACGCTTAACCGGCTGAGCCACCCAGGTGCTCCTTTTAATTTATTTTAGAGAAAGAGAGAGAGAGCAGGGGGAGGGGCAAAGCGAGAAAGAGAGAATCTCAAGCAGACTCTGCACTGAGCATGGAGCTTGATGTGGGGCTCGAGCCCACGACCTAATCATGACCTGAGCCGAAATCAAGAGTCAGATGCTTAACCGACTGAGCCACCCAGGCACTCCTGTGACAGGTTTAATTACTTCACTTAAGGAGAGCGAGAAAGCACCTCGAGTAGTGCTCCTAGCCTTGAGGATTTAGTAGAACGTTGACTTTTATTGAGGAAGACAGGCCACATGGTGCTTATTAGAGAGTCACTGCATTTTTCAGGCAAGTCAATTAGGCAAATTCCTTGAAAAAGATGAATAGTTTTCAGAGAAAAGAGGAACCATTATTCCTCTGAATCACCCATGAACATTCTGGAAAAGAGGTAGATAGAGAACTAGATTCTAGAGCAGGTGGCAGTGAGGAGCTAGATCCTCAGGTGGGTGTGGTGCCCAGCAGAGATGGCGCCATGATCCCCAGGCCTCCCTGGTCCCAGGAAGTCTCTGAGAAAAGGCTGGGCAATGCCACCAGTCTTCACAGACCACCAGGCTTGCATCAGGCTGGTTCTGGGCCTCCTGGTCCGGCTGCACAGTGGATGCCTCCCTCTGGACTGTAGCGCACAGGGCCACAGCGCAGCTGGGGCTCCTCTTCCTCATACCAGCGCTGTTCACTGAAGTCAGGGAAGAAGGCTGCAATCTCTCTACTGGCTGAAACCACAGAGTCTGTAAGGGGAGGTAAGAAAGAGAAGGGGTTCTCATAGGGAGTGCAGGATGGAGGCAAGGGGCAGTTATAATCAGATTTAGAAACCTGAGCCTCTAGTTCTGTCTGACCCTCAGTCCTGGGGCCACATCTGCTGAGATGGCCACAAAGGACCAGAAATGCAATTGGGAGGAAGGTTCACGGCAGGGTTACCTGGCTCTCAACTCCAAGATATGGCCTAACCACCAACCACAAACTATCCTCCCTTATTTGTGGCTGAGGACAGGGGAGGCAGATTCACCAGAGCCATGGGTTGTGTTGCGGGTGTCAGTGAGGCCGAAACTTCCACGAATTGAATCTGGGGCCACATGACGTGCTCGAAACACTCTGGTGGGTCCCATCAGTGTCCTCCAGAGCTGGATGGCATCCTTGTGGGCGAGGATGTAGGCTCGGATTGGCCCGCTGTGTACCAAAGGAACACATGTGAGGAACCTGGCTGTGTGGTCAAGGAGGGCACACTGTAAGCAGGGCATGAATAAAAGCACACTACATCCTGAGAGCTACCCTGCTAAATACCAATGCTGCTTCAAGTTGCAGGTGATGGAAGGCCACTATGGGTGTACAGAAAAGGCCACGGAGGTCAGCAGAGTTGCTAAGTAGCATTCAATGATACTCTTCTATAGCCATTGGACCAATAACCATCATGGGACAGGTGCTACCAGGTCAGTGTTGGCTTAGTCATGGTCCCAAGCCATGTTTCTTCAAAGATTTATTTATTTATTTTGAGAGAGTGAGAATGAGAGAGAGAGAGAGAGAGAGTACATGAGAGGGGGGGAGGGTCAGAGGGAGAAGCAGGCTCCTCGCTGAGCAGGGAGCCCGATGTGGGACTCGATCCCAGGACTCCAGGATCATGACCTGAGCCGAAGGCAGTCGCTTAACCAACTGAGCCACCCAGGCGCCCCCAAGCCATGTTTCTTCAGACACTTAACACTGATTACAACTCTACACAGTGCCAAATGAAATCAACAAATTTAGGGAGCAGGGGAAGGTAAATCTTGGTGGATAAAGATGCCGAAATGAAAATTAGAAGTACCTGGCCATGAACTCCACCAGCCGCTGATAGAAAAAACGCCCTGCAAAGAGAGAGTAACCATCAAGACATGGTGCCCAAGAGAATTTTTTGTACTTCTGCCTCCTTACTTGGAATAATAAAAACTGTTTTATTTAATTTTATTTTTTAAAAGATTTATTCATTCACTTTTGAGAGAGTGTGCAGGCGGGAGGGGCAGAGGGAGCTTCAGGCTAAACGTGGAGCCTGACATGGGGATTGATCCGAAAACCCTGAAGTCATGACCTGAGCTCAACCAACTGCACCACCCAGCACCCCAATAAAAACTGTTTTAGAGAAGGACCTTGGAATCTGACATATCTGGGTTTGAATCCAGGCTCTGCCACTTACAACCTGTGCAGTTTCGGGTAGGTCATTAACTTCCCTAACTCAGGTTCCTAATCTGTGTACTGGAGATATAACAATACCTATGTCATAGGGCACTAGAGAAAATTCAATGAAACCATGAGCATTAGGACAATGTCTGAAAGTGTAAACACTCACTAATAACTACTGATATCATCAGGACATAAAACTAAATTTCTGGTCGGGACTACGAAGTGGAACCCTCCTAGAAAATATATATATTAATAGATTTAAGTAATTCATTTGAATGAGAGAGAGAAAGAAAGAGCACAAACGGGGGGAGAGCAGTGGGAGAGGGACAAGCACTCTGAACTGAGCAGGGAGCTGGCGCAGGGCTCGATCCCATGACCCTGAGATCATGATCTGAACCGAAATCAACAGTCAGACACTCAACTGACTGAGCTACCCAGGCGTCCCCTAGAAAATATTTTTAAAAGATTGATAATCATGAAAAGTTTGTGTATAAAGCAAAGCTTTAGAAGAATGTCTGCAATTTGACAGTTGGTAGGTCAGAGACAGCCTGCCATTGTGCACCCAGCTAAACTCTCTTGCACACGTCTTGGGAGAGAGAAGCCTCCCATTCGGAGGATTGTTGATCCTACCTTCATGCTCTTGGTAAAACTTCTGGCATTCTTCTTTTTTCCACAGAAGTTCTCTCATTCGTACAATAAGGAACTTGTTGCTCAGAATCTGCTGATGAACAGCCTGGGTAACGTCAGAGATAAAAATCGGTCAAAGGGACTATATGTGTGAATAGGAGACCCAGGATGACCAAAAGAACCATGAGGACCCATCAGAGCCCAGGACTTGAGGGCCTGTCCCATTGTTGGGTCAGAAGAGCAGGAAGGTGGGGTGAGGTAAAGACCTTTTGTCACGCGGCCAGAGCATGAGCCTCGGGTGCCATCTCGGCCCTTCCGTTCCTCCAGCCCCTTGAGCTGAAGCCCACATGACCCAGCCTCAGACCATCGAAAAATCTCGATAGTGGTCCTGCCTTGAGTTTGTCCCACTCTCTCCAAACCATCACACTTGACAGATTAAAAACATAGTAACTTACACGTCACACTCTGGTCAGAACCTTATTCATGGAATGAGGTACAACTATTTTAGCCCAGTGCTCAAGGCTGTACTTTCCTTGACCTCCACCTCTTCCAATTCTCCAGCCTGCCTGTGGCCCCCAGATCCACCACACACATTCCTGCCTCAGTATCTCCCTTTGTAGAACTTCTGCCCTCCTGTGCACTAACCGAAGTCTACCCCGCCTGGCCAGGTCCCAACACTTGCGGGCCACCATTCCTGAATGCTCTGGTCTTTCTCTGCACCACAGTGAGCTGACCTAGCAGAGCTGCTCAGTTAGTATTTATCGACCCTCCCCCAGTTCCAACAAGATTCTGCACCCTTCTCTCCAGGACTGTGAATAGGAAGCAATATGATTGTTACATTACATGGCAAAAGGGATTCTGCAGGTGTAATTAAGGTTGCTATCAGTGGACTTCGCTTTATTTTTTAAGGTTTATTTATTTATTTTAGAGAGTGAGAGCATGTGTGGGGGAGAGAGAGACACAGAGAGAGAATCTCAAAAAGACTTCCTGCTGAGCGTGGAGCCCAACACACAGCTTGATCCCATGACCCTGAGATCACGACCTAAGCTGAAATCAAGAGTCAGACGCTCAACTGACTGAGCCAGCCAGGTGCCCCATCAGTTGACTTTGCTTTAATCAAAAGGGAGATTATCCAGAGGAGCCCAATTAATCACATGAGCTCTTTAAAAGCAGAGTTTTATCTGGCCAGGGGCTAAAGGAGAAGTCAGATTTAAAGCGTGAGAAGCACTAAACACACTGTTGCTGTCTTGAAGATGGAGTGAACCATGTGGTGAGGAACGTGAGTGGTCTCTAGAAACTGACAGCAGTCCTCTCCTGAAGGCCAGCAAGGACCTCAGTCTTATAACCATAGGAACCAAATTCTGCCAACAACCTGAATGAGTTTGGAAGTGGATTCTTCCCCCAGACCCTCCAACTAAGGACCTGGTCAGCTGATACCTTGACTTTGGCCTTGTGAGACCCTGAGGAAAAACCTACCTGAGCCTACTGGACCTCTAAATTCTAGAATTGTGAGATCATAAACATTGTTTTAAGCTGCTAAGTTTGTGGTAATTTTTTGCACAGCAATAGAAAACTAATACACATACACTGTCTTGAGGTTTGGTTCTTATTGTATTGGATCCTTATATTTTTAATCTGCCCCAATTCTCCAGTAGATTTTTAGTCTTTTTAGGGTCAGAGCCCATAGCTCCTAGCTTTGCCTCCACAGCATCTTGCACAGGACTGTGCTGTCAGTCTTCACAAGTGGCCCTGTGGCACCAGAAAGAGAAGCAGTGCCCAGGGCATACAGTAAGAGGCTTAGGATTCCTTCTTACCTCCAGAATCAGGGGGTGAGCAACAGCATCAGGCTTGATCAGGGCCAGAGTAAGCTGGAGAGCCTGAGGGCTCCGCAAGATTGAGGTCATCTCACTCCTGCCATCAGAAAGCTGGTTTAGGGACCTATCAGTGCTGTGCTCCCCACCCTCCCTACTCCAGAGCCATGCAGCCTTGCAAACCCACAGCAATCTCACTCCCAAAGCCTGTGGCAGTTACATACAAAGGAGTTACCTATTCAGGAGAAATTCAAGTTTAAACATTACCCATCTCTGCCAATATTCCCTTCACTTCCTAACTTTTCTTTGTGTTTTAGAGGATTTATAATTTACATTGCTAAACATCCTGGCCACAAAGGTACGATAACTGTTTCCTTTCCTAAGGCCTTCTATCCCATAGTGTGCTCTCATCAGTTCTAGAACTGGAAGATTGGATGGACAAGAATTGGGATGTTGCCAGAATACCCCAAAGAAGTCTGCTGGATACGTACCATCTCTTATCTAATCTTACAGATAGGTCAGGATCTCCCAAATCAAATCCTTTAATACACTCGGCTATCCTCAATGGCAAGGCTTGTGGACATGTAACTCCAAGGTCAAGGACCAGTTGTAACCATTTTGGCAGCTGAAACAGTGCCTAGGACAAAGGTCAATTTAATTGACTAACTGAACGTCCACAGCCTTATTCTGTCCATCTTTGTATTTCTAGTGTCTAGCATGGTGTAAGAGCTCAATAAATAATTGTGGAAGTGATATAAGGAACATAAAGGTATTTTTTAAACCGGACTAAGAGAATTTGAGGTCTCTCCCAACTGTGAGATTCTATTCAGATGTAAGAAATTGATCATCTGATCAGGACTAAGAACTAGGTCTCAAAAGATTACCTGGTGGAGCTCCTAAATTTGCCAACAAATATGGAGAAGGCTTCCATGAACACACACAGGGACAGTGTGGACAACACTCTTCTTTCTCTTAGGCTGAAAGTAGCCTGACAATCATGGTAAGGCAGTGCTAGGGTCTCCCCTACTCATGTCCTTTCTACAGTTTTCAGCTGGATGCTCCACTCAAACCACAAAACTAAGTCTAGTCTAACTAGTGCAAGATCAGCCAACCCTTCCTAATATCCCAGTTGTCAGTAACCCAAAAGCAAATGGAATCTTCAACGTAATCTAGGGAGAGATATCCTTGACACTTCCCTTCCCTCACTCTCCACATGCATGTTAATCACCAAGTTCTGGCAATTTTACCTAAGCAGTATATCTCAAATCCATACAATCCTCTCCTTCTCCAGGACCACCACCCAAGTCCAAGATTCATTATCAACCTTCCCTGGACTTCTGCAACAGCCTCCTCCATGGCCTCTCAATTTCTACTCCTGCGAGCCTCTACAATCTGTTCACACAACGGCCAGTGAACTGGAATGGAAAATGGAAATCTAATCATATCATTTCCCTCCTTAACCCTTTGCCAGAGATGTTTCCACAGTCCACAATGTGCTTCCTCTGGTTACCTCCTATTCACCTACTAGATCTTACCTCACTTCCCCTATTATATAGCTTTTTGGACATTTTCTTCAGTTACATCTTCACCTGTTAGGTCAACTCTATTAAGGCAGGGGTCTGTTTTGCTCATCATCTTATTCCCAGTACCTAAGCAGAATGAATGTTGTTGAATGAATGAATGAATGAATGAACCTCATCCAGCTATTGCAAGGCGAAGCTGCCAGGGGCTCTCCAGGGAAGGATGTGGTTCCTTTCCTAATGCCAGCTAAGTAATGACTGTCTTGGCCCTTGGTTTAAAACAAATGCTGACAGGTTAAGAAACTCGCTCAATTTTAAAGTTACTCCACCAGAGAACCACAAATTTCATAAGTCGCCTGGGTATTCGCCTTCACACCTGAGGTGCCCATTCCTCTGCTTCCGGGAGGACGGTGACCAAGACCCCGCCCCCCCAGGCTCCGCGGGGACCTGGAACCCCCTAACTCTGTCTCGGGTCCCCATCCCCTACCCTCCACCCCGACACCTGAGGCCCAGCTCCCCAACCCCCCAGGGTCTCAGCCCCATTTCTTGACACCAACCCCTCTCCTCGCTGCCCCTCATTTCTCCGGGCCTGCAGCCGCGCGACTCCTGGCCCTCGTACCAGGACCTAAGCGCACCCCAGATTCAGGGCTGTTCGGGCCCCAGCCCAGCGGGAGTTCTGGTCTGGATTCACCTGGTCCTCCACCGCGGAGCCCGGCCACCAGGCACCGCGATAGCTACCCTGCGCGGCCCCAGCGGGGTCCTTCGGGCGTTCAGCCGGGCAGCCCTGTTGGGGGTCCTTGCCGGGAGGCCGCGGAACTACGGGGCCGCGGAGGCTGGATGTGTGAGGCCCGCGGGGAGACGGCGCAGTGGGAGCGCCGGCCCGAGGCGAGGCGAGGCGAGGCGAGGCGGCCTGCAGCCCGAGGGCGGGCCTTGCCGGTGGCCCTCCTCTCTCCCCAGCGCTTGTCCCGGGCCGCACGAGAGGACAGAGCCGTCTTGGGCGGGAGCAGCCCCTCCGAGCCGGGGCTCGGGCGCCCTCAGGCGGGAGGGAGGCCGGCGTTTCCGGGCGGCCCTGCGCGGGGGGAGGTGGCCGTCTGGCGGTGGGACGGACCTTGTCTGACTGTCCTTTCTTCCTTTTCTGTCTAGGCTGGTGCCTGGCACGTGTTTGGTGGCCAGTACTTGTCGGAGGTACGTGGAGGGCGAAGGACTTGTGCGCTCGATCGCGATCGCCGAGGCCGCCGTTGAAAGTCTCGAGCTGCGAGCGACACGGAGACACGAGGGAGCACAGCTCGTGTGGGGGTGATGACCCAGGGTTCTTGGCTGGGGTCCAGGTGTCCGTAGGCCGTGAGGGGAGCTAGTCGTAAGGGCCTTGAACATGTCGCTAAGAAATTTGGGGTGCGGTGGGTTACCCAGGAGTCTGTTGAAGCAGTGCAGCGTGAGATGAGAACTGCGGGTATTCTTGGTGTGTAGTCTGAGTATGGAGAGGGAACAGTGTGGCAGGTTGAAGAAGGGTGGTAAATTTTTTTCTTGGGAAGAGTCACTGACTTTGCAAAGAGTGAAAATAAGCCATAACTGTCATCAACGTAAGTATATATGTATTTTTAACTGACTCTGCTGCCAGATATACAGGTGTTGCTCTCCTGGAAGGTTGGAAGGCAGGTCGGTGTTTCTGGCAGCTTGTTTCCACCAGGTGTCTTTGGGAAAGTCGAGTCCTGCCTGGCTGGTGAAGGCACAGGTCCATTTCTGCCTTCACAGGATGAGAGTAAACTTAACCATGTGATACTGCCCAGACATCAGGTTTAAGTTTTATTTTCCAAGTACACCAGGTCCAATTTTGTTTTCTACCTTTTTTTTTTTAAGACTTTATTTATTTATTTGAGAGAGAGAGAGAGAGAGAGAAACAGCATGAGAGGGGAGAGGGTCAGAGGGGGAGAAGCAGGCTCCTTGCTGAGCAGGGAGCCCGATGCGGGACTCGATCCCGGGATTCCGGGATCATGACCTGAGCTGAAGGCAGTCTCTTAACCAACTGAGCCACCCAGGTGCCCTCTACCTTTTTTTTTTTTTAAGGTTTTATTTTTAAGTAATCTCTATACCCAACAGGGGGCTCCAACTTAACAACGGTGAGATGAAGAGTGGCATGCTCCACTGGCTGAGCCAGCCAGGCACCCCGTTTTCTACCTTTATCTTCATTAATATACCTTTGAACTGAAGGGACTTTGCCAATTTTTAGACCATGGTCATTAGTTCACCTGTCTTACACACTGGAGAAGGCTTTAGTTCCATATTTTATAGTTGCTTTGACTATCCTCAGCAACAAGCCTACATAATGTAAGTAAGGCAGATGTGATTTTAGGAGGAGACCCAATAAATAACACCCTTTTTCTGAACTTGGGCTCAGAACCAACAGAAATAGAGGAATGGCAGGCAGGTGGAGACCAAATATCAGCTTATCTAATACTGATGGAGTTGATGGAGAACATAATTTAGTGTGAGAACCAAATTCGCCTGCCTTCTAATTCTGTGCTGCCAGAGTTCAGTGCCAGGTCTCTTAAAAGCTTTAAAGCAATAGCAACAACAAAAAGAATCTAAATCGTTAACGGCATACAAAATGATCGCAGTATTGCCCCACATTCACTGAATTTAAAAAGCGGACCACCCCTCGCTCGTAGCAGATTTTGTCCCTAGAAACCTGTCAAAAGACTGATACTCAGTGGTATGTGAGGGAAGGTGAATAGGCTGAAAAGGTCTTGATTCAATGTCACTGGGACTCAAGTAGTTCTATACCAGTTATTCAGAGTCTCCTAACTTGTGAGTCTAAACTCAGTTGGGAGAATCACCCATTATGAGGTTAATTATGACCTGTGTTCATTATATCCTGAGGGGCATCTACCTGTGTCTAGTCTTGTCTTTAGCCAGTGGTATTTAAGACGATGCCACCTTCTTGCATTGTTAATTTACAGTAGTGGCAGCCCCAAACCAGATCTTTGAGATGCCTTTCTTTTTCATCCAGCATATTCAAATTTCTTAATACCATTTCTCTTTTGGGTCCTTTGTTTCTGGCATCCCCAGGCTGCATTGAGAGTGGGCTCTTAGGACCTAGCTTACCCAGCCCCACTGTGAGCAGTCCTCAGTTGGCCACTGCTTTCTGCTGTTGAGTTGGTCAGGCCCAGGACACTTGGCCCCTGTGGTTGGAGGGCAGGAGGGTGGTCCTTTACCCCATGAGTTTCAGTTGAGAATCACTCTGGCAGGTTTTTTTTTTTGTTGTTTTTTGTTTTTTTAACCTGAAGCTGATGTTATTTCTTCTAAAGTTTGTTGCTTCAGGGACCCAATGAGAATCGAGACCTCTGCCATTCCTCAAGATACTATCTTCGGCTTCTGGATGGGTCACATGGGGAGTAGCATTTCTTTCAGACACTTCTCTTTTGGCAGTTTTTTCCCCCTGTGTTCCCCTACTCCTTTCCAGAAGGCTCATTGAATTTCTGGCATTCTTATTGTTGGAGAGAAGGAAGACCTTGGAGCCAGCTCTTTGCTAGGCTACAGAAAGTAGGGAAGGAACCAGGGCCATGCCCTGGAGATTGTCTCTTAATTGTTTTCCAAGATGTCAACTTTCTTTTAAGAAAATCTCTCTTAAAAAAAAAAAATCTCATGTCCTTTGTTTTCATTCTTGTACTGCTTCTAATCTGATGGAGTAGGTTTCTAAAGCTATGCATTTCTTCCTGGACTTCCTAAACATACGTGATTCCTTAAGACTGTGTTCCAGGCACAGGCTTTTCTCATCTTGTCAACCTCTGTGGCTGTGGTTATTGCATTGAGTGGTTTTTCTACTTCAGTCTGAGAAGATGACATATTCTATTTGTAATAAGGGCATTGTTTTTGTTGTTATAAATAAAACCTACCATCTTTTTAAGATTGAAGCTGCATTGTAAATCTCAGAACTATAAAACCCTAGCCAGAGTTATTGACAAACAGACTTGCAAGTGGGGAGTGACCCTTAAACCATGGAGAAAAAAAAAACAACACATGAATTCTTCTGGTTTTAGCCTTTGGCTTTGAGTCTAGCTCAGAGCATAAGGGATGGAATTTGGGACAGCCTTTTCGTGGTTTCTGCTGGACTGGGACTAACAAAGTTTGGAGCTTACACACTTGTGTTCCTTAGCATGTGTGGAATTTAATTGCATTTTAAAGCCCCTGGCCTGTCGAACTAGCTAAAAAACATAGTAAAGGACCAAGTACTTCTTTTACCCCAATATCTAAAAGGCGTGTATAGGGAAAGACTTCCCTGTAGTCCAGGCTGTGCCTCAGCAGGGCCTGCTCACCAAGGGTCTTCTCTGCTGCTTAGGCTTTGCAGATGCCCCCACAAGGGAAGGCAGTGGGTCTGTGCTAAGGCCAAGGTCAGTGCCCACACCTTAACTCTGACGTGCTTAAGCCATAGTGCTTGTGTAACGACAGTGCCTTCGCTGAGCCATGTGACTGGCATTTCACTAAGGTACTCATTCATCCCTGCCTGTATATAAAATCGGAGTTATAAAAACTCTTGCCAGTGAACAAAGTGGCCAGCATTTCCACATGGCCAACTTGGGAAAAGTGTTTGAAATGCCTCAAGTGCTGGTTCCATCATAGCCTCAACTTGTATGTGATATTTCACTCCCAAATTCCTCACCAGGTTTCTCTTTTATGTTCTCTGCCAAAACAAGAGATCCTAACATTCCTTTGAAAAGGAATGTTTTCATTCATTAATCCCATCCCTCCACCCCTGCCAGAATTTTACAATTCCTGTAAAACTTCCAACACAGAGCAGCAGAACTTGTGGGCAGCTGGCTTCCGAAATAAGGAACAGAAAAAAGGGCAAAGCTACACTTAACCTGGCTCTCTGTCCCTGAAGCTTCAGCCAGGGGACGAGAGTTACCCTAAGAGTTCAGGAGTGTATAGAGGAAATCCTCGTGGACCCAAGGAATCAGTCCAGGAAGCATTCCCTTTCTAAGAGAGTTGAAAATAACTCTTTGGTTTCAGCCTGTGTGTTTGGGAATTGGTTAAGAGGTTGGCTTAAAGATGAAAATGAATTCATTTGGGATGTGGTGAGTTTGGAGTGATGGTGGGACATTCAAGCAGAACTAGCTTGGTGGCGGTTGGATAGTTAGGTTTGGGAGTTATCAGAGTGGTGATAGTCGGAAATACGTCAGTGAAGAACCGACCATGGGAAAAAATGCAGACAGAAGACAAGGTCAAAGACCAATCCTTCCCCTGTCAATAATTTAAAAACTTGTTTATAAAGGGGCGCCTGGCTGGCTCAGTCGAAAAATCAGCAACTCTTTGATCTCAGGGTCGTGAGTTCAAGCCCCATGTTGAGTGTAGAGATTACTTAAATAAATACATAAACTTAAGAAAAACTACTTGTATATAAGGGAAAACAATAATTGATTTAATCTAGCAGCAAAAACGATTTATGTATAAGAAAGAGTAGAGAGGGAAGAAGGAAAAACCACAGATCGTGTGAAAGTTGTAGCTTTTGTTTCCTTTGGGTAGACTGCTCATCAGCTAGCAGCCAACAAAGAGCCAGTATTCTTTCCTGGGGCAACTGAATGGATTATAAAATATCAACTTCACTTGCTTCTGGGTTCTCCAGAAGACCTCTAGAGTTCCAGTGAGGTGTATGTGTCACGCTGTTTCTGGATGAATAATGTCTTATCAGTATCCTTTGTAAGCCCCATCATCAGTTAGGCCAGGTCTGCTATTTCCCTTCTCAGAATCTCTGACCTTCTCCCTATTAATCAGACTCAGCTCTGGTCCACGTTAGCCCTGAGGGTTTCAGTTTCCTTCCGAGGTGGCAACATGAGTTGAATGTTGTTTTGGGGGCATTGGCTGTATAACAGTATTTAAACCCCTGAATATTAGCAGACAATGCCCAAAAGAGCAAGGGAATCCTAGATACTAATACAAAAATTTGGAACCCATTTTATATCCTGTTTACTCACTGGCCTGTTTAATCAGGAGATTAAGTTCCAAGGGTTAGTTTAGTCAGGTTTAGCTAATGAATATTCACAAACCAAGTGGATCATAACTGAGAGCATTTACTTTTAAGAATAAAAATCCTGATAGAAGTTTCTAACTTTGAATC